GGGGGGGGAAGCAGAAGAAAGATCCAGACCTATACACTGCAGGTTTTGAGGGACCAAGCAGACACCTGGACCCCAGCAGGGGCTGGCAGTGTCTCCAAGTGAACCATGCTGCAGCCCAGGGAGCAGGGCCAACAGAGGACAGACAGAGCTGCCAGGCCTGTGCTGCACACAGGCCCAGGAGGCTCTGAGACAGCCCCCCCCCCACAGGAACCCCCCAGGTGGCCACTGCCGGCTAAGAGGCTCAGCCTGCCTCCCAGCAAGCCACAGCTGTCAGAGGAGCAGGCTGCTGTGCTGAGGGTCGTCCTGAAAGGCCAGAGTGTCTTCTTCACCGGGAGTGCAGGTCAGTGCAGGTCAGGGCAGAGGGGGCCTGGGGGGACAGTGGGGATTGCAGCAGAAGCACAGGCAACCCTGACTTTGTGCCCTGCCCAGGGACTGGGAAGTCCTACCTGCTGAAGCGGATCCTGGGCTCACTGCCCCCCACAGGCACTGTGGCCACTGCCAGCACAGGGGTGGCAGCCTGCCACATTGGGGGCACCACCCTCCATGCCTTTGCAGGTGAGCGGGAGCCCCCAGTCTGGAACTAAGGGCAAGTAGAGGAGGGCAGGTGAATAGCAGGGCATGGTGGTGCATGCCTGCAATCCCAGCACCCCGGAGGCTGAGGCAGGAAGATCAGTATGAGTTTGAGGCCAGCCTGAGGTATATAGTGAATTCAAGCCTGGCCTGAACTACATGGCCAGGCCCTGTCTCAAAAAAAGGTAAAATCAAGCCAGGCCTGTGGGAGGGAGGGGAGGAGGTCAGGGTTGGCAGCAGCAGGCTGGGCTGAATGGTGTCACTCACAGGCATTGGCTCGGGCCAGGCCCCCCTGGCCCAGTGTGTGGCTCTGGCCCAGCGGCCAGGTGTGCGGCAGGGCTGGCTGAGCTGCCGGCGGCTGGTTATTGACGAGATCTCCATGGTGGAGGCGGACCTGTTTGATAAGCTGGAGGCCGTGGCCAGGTCAGTGTGCACAGGGAGGGTAGCGACAGAGGCTGGCATCTTGGGTCCCCCAGGAGGAAGGGCCACTGAGGCCCTGCAGCAGCCCCTGCTCCCCACAGAGCTGTCCGGCAGCAGGATAAGCCATTTGGCGGGATCCAGCTCATCATCTGTGGGGACTTCCTGCAGCTGCCACCAGTCACCAAAGGCTCCCAGCCCCCTCGGTTCTGCTTCCAGGTACAGCACACCCTTGGCCCTGCTCCCCCTGTCCCCAGCACTCTGCGCTGTTCCCCCATCCACACCCCCGTTCCCCACCAGGCCAAGAGCTGGAGGAAGTGTGTGCCCGTGACCCTGGAGCTGACCGAAGTGTGGAGGCAGGCAGACACTGCCTTCATCTCCCTGCTGCAGGCTGTGCGGCTGGGCAGGTGGGCCTGGGGCTCGGTCAGGGCCACAGGGAAGGTCCCGGCGTGGGCATGCGGAGAGCACAGGGCTTGGGGAAGGGGAGCCTTGGCGGGCCCTGGGCACCTGAAGACACACGGTACTGAAGAGGTTCGTGGCTGCAAAGGACCCTGGGACCCAGCCTCCCTCAGGTTCCAGTCTTTGTCACATAGCACAAGGGCAGCACAGAGTAGGTTACAGGGAAGAAGGAAGGATGGACAGAGTGATACACAGGAGGAGTTCAGAACTGTTAACACCCCCATTTCAAAGATGTAGTAAGTGGGGGTCAAGGAGGCAAAGTGACTCACAAGTCTTGGCGAAACTGAGCTTTGAAACCGGGTCTGAGTTAAAGTCTTAGCTGGGCCTGGTGGTGTCTATCTGTAATCCCAGCACTCGAGGTTGAGGCAGGAGGATTGCAGCAAGTACAAGGCCAATCTGGAGCAATGCACCTGTGTCTGCTGCTCTTTCCCAGACCCCAGGCCAGCTGCTCAGGCCACCCTGCCCATGTCCCCTACTGTCCCCAGGGTTCAGTGAACTCTGCCCTGACGGCCTAGCCCCACAGGTGCTCTGATGAAGTGACCCGCCAGCTCAGGGCCACAGCTGCCCACAAGGTGGGGCGAGATGGCATTGTGGCCACGAGACTCTGCACCCACCAGGACGACGTGGCACTCACTAACGAGAGACGGCTGCAGGAGCTGCCGGGTGAGCAGGGAGTTGGGGCCAGGGAGGGCCCCCAGGAGCATGGCCCCAGCAGCCTGACAAGGGCATCACGAGGGTAGCTAGGGTCTCAGTCTGTGTCCACCACGGCTGTCAGGTTTGCAGACATAACTGAGACCCTAAGAGGTGCAATGCTGAGCCCAAACCCCATCCCTCCATGCCCCGAGCTGATCTGTGTTTTTGGATGCCCAGCCACAGTCGTGACTCCTAATCTGTTTTCCCATGCGATTTCCAGGCGAGGTCCACAGCTTCAAGGCTCTGGACAGCCACCCTGAGCTAGCTCGGACCCTGGACGCCCAGTGTCCTGTGAGCTGGCTTCTGCAGCTGAAGCTGGGTGCACAGGTGAGTGGCAGGCGGGGCTGGACCTGGGAGCAGTCCTTTCTCTCCCTCCAGCTCAGCTCCTTGTCTCTAAAATAGGGAGTGGGCTGGGGCAAGGTGACCACAGTCCTGTAAGCCCAGCACTCTGGGAGGCTGAGGCAGGAGGATTACAAATTCAAACTCAGCCTGGGGCAGTGTAGGGAGACACACACACCCACCCCCACCCGTCTCAAAATAAATTGTAAAAGGTGCTGAGGGGCTGGGGATTTAGCTCAGTGGTTTTGCTGCCTGCTGCACAAACGCAAGGACCCGAGTTCGATTCCCGGTACCAAAAAAAAAAATTAATAAAAAAAGTGCTGAGGATGTAGCTCAGAGGAGTGGCCCTGGTTTAATCCCCAGTACCACAGAAATAAATAGGAGTGAAGTCCCTCTCCCCTCCACTGTCTTCAGTAGGAAGCCTTAGGGATGGGTGAGTTGTGTTCCTCCCACGACCGGGGCAGTTCGAATGGGAGCCTTTGCTCAGGTACCAGAGGGTACCCAAGTGGAGGCTCCATGGCTGAGCAGGGGTAGCAGGCATGAAGAGCCCCCTCTTGAGGTTTGTGACCCCATAACAGATCTGGTTTTCTCAGGTAGGGTCTCACTTTGTAGTTCAGACTCGTCTCAAACTCACAGTGATCCTCCTGCCTCAGCCTCCCAAGTACTCGGACTACAGGCATGTGCCACCATGACTAGCTTAGATCTGACCTTTTCAGAGCCGTGTGACATAGGTCACCTTCCTGGCTTTGAAACCCGCTTCTGAGGCACACCAGGCTAATGGCATTTCCTGTGACAGGAAGGGAGAGTATGGGAGAGCTGTGGGTTGTGACTCGGTTTCCCTATATGACAGTCCCCAGCCCTCCGCCTTGCCAGCTCTGCCTGTGGGTCTGGAGATGAGCAGGGGTAGGAAGGGCCCCCATGCCCCTTCTGCTCCCCCTGCAGGTGATGCTGGTGAAGAACCTGGCAGTATCCCGAGGCCTGGTGAATGGAGCCCGAGGGGTGGTGGTGGGGTTTGAAGCCGAGGGCAGAGGTGAGTGGCGGGCAGGATGGGCGCATGCCTGGGTTGCACCAGGATCCCCCTGAAGGTCCCGCCCTCCCCACCATGCCTTGTGGCCAGGCTGAGAGGTGGCGGTGCCCTTCCTTCCCCAGGGCTGCCCCGGGTGCGCTTCCTGTGCGGCGTCACTGAGGTCATCCGTGTGGACCGCTGGACAGTGCAGGCCACCGGGGGCCAGGTCCTCACCCGGCAGCAGCTGCCCCTCCAGCTGGCGTGGGCCCTGTCCATCCACAAGAGCCAGGTAGCCAGCAGGCAGCGGCACAGCACAGGCCTGGGCAGGGGTTTGAAGGCTTTGTGGGGGGAAGTTGCGGATCAGGAATGGAATAACTACCAACCCCTGCCCTCAGATAAGCCAGCCTTCCTTTCTCTCCCCTCTCTGAGAGAGGAGTCTCACCTCCCTAGTGCTGGAATTACAGGCCATGCCTGGCACCTCTTTTTCTGTCTTTCCCTCTCTCTTTTTTTTCCTTTTTCTTTTTTTCTTTTGGTACCGGGGATTGAACTTGGGTCCTTGCACTTCTGCAGCAGGTGGCAAAACCACTGAGCTAAATCCCTGGCCCTCTTCTTCTTTTTTGATACAGGGTCTCTCACTGTGTGGTTCAGGCTGGCCTTGAACTCACTATGTAGCCTAGGCTGGCCTCAAACTTGAGGCAGTCCTACTGCTTCAGCCTCCTGAGTGCTGGGATCACAGGCGTGTACCACCACGCCCTGCACTGTTGTGTTTTTTGAGACAGGGTCTCACTCTGTAGTCAGGTGGGCCTTGGCTGGCCTGGAACTTGCAGCCTGCCTGCCCCATCCCTCAGTTCTTGCCCCACACGTTCGTATTTAGACCCATCTGCTGAGAGTGTCTCTCTCTTCAAAACTCTGGGTGAGGGCTGGGGATTTAGCTCAGTGGTTCCACTGCAGGCCTCGCAAGCACAGGGTCCCGAGTTCGATCCCCAGTACCAAAAAAACAAAACAGAACAAAAACTCTGCCAGGGTCAGGGGCCGGGCTGGTGAAGGAGAATTAGATGGCGGGGGGGGGGGGGGGGGCTTCAGGCTGAGCTGGTTTTGCCTTGTCCCTGCCCCCAGGGCATGTCTCTCGACTGTGTGGAGATCTCTCTGGGCCGGGTGTTTGCCAGTGGACAGGCCTATGTGGCCCTCTCCCGGGCCTGCAGCCTGCAGGGCCTGCGAGTGTTGGACTTTGACCCCTTGGTGGTCCGCTGTGATGCCCGTGTGCTTCGTTTCTATGCTACCCTGCAGCGGAGCAGGGGCCTCCGTCTGGTAAGAGGGAGTCACCCAGGGCTGTGCAGAGCAGGAAAATGGGAGGCCCCCGGTGCAGCGCCCTCTGGTGGTTCTTGCTGGTGGAGGCAACAGGAAAGATGACCCAAACTGTGACCCTGGGGACAGCACAAGTGTGACCAGGCTTTCTGCTCTGATCCAGGAGTCCCCGTATGACGAGGAGCCAGCCTCGGACCAGGAGAATATGGACCCAAACCGCTGAGTCCCCGCTGCAAAGGGGAGATGGGGCTCCCCAGTCACCTGCTCCCTAGGGAATAACTGGGGCGACCCAGTGTCCTTTCTCCATTCCTCAGGGGGATCCAGGCAGAATTAAAGGATAGCACCTCCGCCCACTTTCCAACTAGGCCTCAGTTTCTGCCCCTGTCCTGGGGAGCTGTTTCCAGGCTCAGAAGCCACCATTTCTGTGCCTGTTAGAAATAGGCCTGGGCTGGCACCTGGTGCCAGAGGACAAGCCCTGTGCAAGGCCTGGACACAGAGCTGTGGGGTGCCACGCACCCCTCTCTGGGCTGCAAAGGGCATAGACAGTGCAGAGAGTGGCTTCGGGAGTGCAGCCTCTCCTGCAGGGGGCTGTGTTCATGAGCTTCCTGTTGCTATAACAAAATACCAGAGGGCATGGAACGTTATAAAGAAAGGTCTTTACTTAGTACACAGTTCTTGAGGGTCAAGACCATGCTGTCTGCACCTGCTTAGCTCCAGTGGGACCTCAGGGGATATGGTACATAGGGCAAGGGGACATTTGAGCAGGGACACAGGGCATGAGAGACAAGTAGCAGAGACAAGCTGGGCATGGTGATGCACACCTGTAATCCCAGAGCTTGGGAGGCTGAGGCAGGAGGATCTGGAGTCCAATCCTAGCCTGGACAACTTAAAGACTTAGTGAAACCCTGTCTCCAAATTTTAAAAACTGGGTTGGGGATTTAGCTTAGTGGTTTTGCCACCTGCTGCGCAAGTGCAAGGACCTGAGTTCAATCCCTGGTACCAAAAAAAAAAATTTAAAAAGGGCTGGGGATGTAGCTCAGTGCAAATGTCCTAGGTTCAGTCCTCAGTACTACAAAAATTAAGAAGCAAGAGACAAGAGGGGTCTGGCTCACTATCTTTCTAACAGCCAGTCCTAGCAGACCTGACTCACCATGGGGCAGTGATAGCCCTGAAGGTGGTGACCCTGGAACTTCTCCTCCACCCATCTCCGTCTTGCCACCTCAAACCGCTACACTGGGACCAAGCACCAGCATCTGAACCCATAGGGGACAAACTCCAAACCATAGCAGAGACCTGGAAGGGACCAGAAGAGACAGGAACTTGGGTTCCACCCAGGAGAGGCTCAGCACAGCACAGCACAGCCCTGGGCAGATCCCCAAGCCCAACTGCACTCAAGCTGCAAACTGCAGAGCAGGGGGCAGGGGTAGTGTTTGGGGCCCTGGAATGGATGTTCTCGGGTTGTGTTTATTTGGGACAAGTAAACCTGTGCACTCTGAGAACCGTGCCTCCGGCCCCTCCCCCATCCAGCAGTGCTCTTGGCGCCACTGGCACTGGCAGTTGGGAAGCTGAGGTGGCTGATGCTGGTGACGAGCAATGAAATGACAAGGGGATTCACCATCATCCGGCAGACATGGATGCACCACAGCTCTTCTCCATGTGGGCCTTGCGGGGACTCCAGCCTGGACATTCTAATGGGGAGGAAGCCATCAACAAACCACCTCCAGTTCATCAAAAAGTAGGATGGCAAAAAAAAAAAAAAAAAGTTCCACAAAAAGTAGGATGGCCATGATCACAGCACCCTGGCAGGCTGAGGCAGGAGGATTCCAAGGTTGGCCCCAGCCTGACCAACTTAGTGTGACCCTGTCTTTAAAGAGTTTGAAAAAGGGCCAGGAAGGCTGGGGATTTAGCTCAGTGGTTCCGCCGCCTGGCCTGCAAGCTCAAGGACCCAAGTTCATCCCCTGTACCAAAAAAAAAAAAAGGAAATGGCTTGGTGGAGCATGCGTATAATCCTATCAGGAAGCTGAGGCAGGAGGATCCCTGTGAGTTTGAGGCCAGCCTGGGGTACATGGCAAGACCCTGTCCCGAATGTATTTTGAGGGGCAGGGATTTAGCTCAGTGGTTCCGACGCCAGATGTGTTCTCCAAGGGAAGTGCAGACGTGCCGGCCCCTGAGGCAGGCATGCAAGGAACTTCACATCTCATCTAACCCTGAACTTGTATCCCCAGGTTGGAGGGACCCCAGGTCAGCCTAGGTTGGAGGCTCCTGGTGACCCTCTCCAGCCCCTCTGGTGGCTGCTGAGCAGCATTCCCAGGCAGGGAGGGGAGGGGCCCTTCTCGGCCCTGCCACCTCCCTGGGGTTCTCCCAAGGGACCTGCTGGCCAGGTGTCTCTGCCAGTCTCTTTGATGTCCCTTCTGCCTCTCCCTCACCCAGCATGGACCTAGGGGGCGAACCCAGGAAACACTGCATGTTAGTCAGCTTTCCTACCACCAGCACAGGGCACCAACATCCAGGGCTTCACAGAGCAAGGCCAACAAGGCTGGTGGCTTTGGGGATTCAGTTAATGGTTGGCTGGCCCTGAGGCAAGGTGGATGGCCGGGCAGAGGCAGGCAGGAATCAGAGTGGAGGGAGGAGCTGGGGAGGGAGATACACCCGCAAAGGCACCCACAAAGGCCCCCCTTCCAACCAGCCCTCACCTCCTAACAGCACACAGCCATGAGTTCATCAGTGCGTGGATCCACTGGCCAGTGAGTGCCCTTGGATCCAGTCACCTTCCCAATGGACCCCCACCCCGAACATGAGACTTTGGGGGCACCATGTAGACATAAACTGTAACAGAACTGCTGGGCTGGGTGGCATTGGCTTGTAATCCCAACACGCAGGAGACTGAGGCAGGAAGATAGCCCTTGGTTTACTTTTTCTTTTTTTTGTCCCAGTACTTCGGATCAAATCCAGAACTACTTTATCACTTTACCACATCCTCAGACCTTTTAAATTTAATTTATTTACAAGACAGGGTCTTGCTGTGTAGTCCAGGCTGGTCTCCAGTTCATGGTGATGCTCCTGCGAGTGTTTGGATTACAGGCGGGCACCATCACACCCTGCCCCCTTTTTTTATTTTTAGACTGGGTCTCCCTAAATTGCCTGGACTGGTCTCAAAATTGAGATCCTTCTCCTTCAGTTTCCAGAGGTGCAAAGATTAAAGGCATGTGCCCTGAGCCCCCACTCAGCACAGCACATGGAACCACGCAGCCGAACAGCAGGGAACGAAAGTAAAGGTGTGGAGAGGCACAGAAAGGTTCGGCTAGGGAACCCGCACCCAGAAGAGAACACTTTTGCCTCGGATTTACTGTTTCCTCTTCACTCCCCACCACGGGGGCTGGACGGGAGCTTGTGGGGCGAGGAGCTGGAGACGGACACGGTGCACCGCTGGTCTACACTCAAAGAAGACCCTTTGGGTTGGGGCTTGATGACAAGGGGCTGGGGCACAGCCTTAGACAATCCTGAAGCCAACTGTAATTTCAGCACTCAGAGGCTGAGGCAATAGTCCAAGCCCAGCCTGGGCAACTTAGACCCTGTCTCAAAATAACATATTAGTTAGTGGTACACACCTGTAATCTTGGTACTGGGGAGGCTCGGGCAAGAGGCTTGCCCTGAGTTCAAGGCCAGCCTGAACTACAAAGGGAAACCCTGTCTCTACGTAGCCCTGGCTGGCCTCTAATTCCTGGAATCGTCCTGCCTCGGCCTCTTCAGTCCTAGGATCAGAGGCGTGGGCCACCATGCCTGGCTCTAAAAATTAAAAAAAAAAAAAAAAAAGAGCTGGAGATGTAGTTCAGTGGTAGAGTGCTTGCCTAGCATGCACGAGACCCTGGGTCCGATCCCTAGTACCAAAAAACAAAAGTAAAGCCTTCATAAAATGATAAATTAAAAGAAGACACAGTGTCAGGTACTGTGAGGGTGGGAAAATTTTCCCCTGCTCGGAAGGCGCACTCCTTCCCCATCCACAGCAGGGTTCAGCTAGCCATAGACCACATCCTTGCTGGAGTCTCGGTTATTTTCCTTCTGGCTTCCCAAGCACCACCCAGCGGTGGTCACTAGGTGGCGCCCAGGGGTCGCTAGGCCAAGCCTGGAAGCCCCAGGTTCCTGGTTCCCAAGCTCCTCCTGAATGTAGTGTCTGCTGGTATCTCATTGGCGGGGCAGGAGCCAGTGTCCCATTTGATGGAGAGAATCCTCCCCTCTCAGAGGTGCAGTGGCTTGGAACTGCAGTCCCAATACAGGGTTCCGAGGGTTTGCAAAGCTGGCCAAAAGCCCTGCAGCCAGCCAGACTCCTGGGTCTAAATGCTGGCTCCTAAGCAGCACGGTGGCATATGCATGTAATCTCAGCATTCTGGAGGCTGAAGCAGGAGGATTGTCATGAGCCAGAGACCAGCCTGGGCTCCACAGTGAGTTCGAGGCCAGCCTGAAGTATACAGTGTTTTTGTTTCAAAAAACAAAAACAAAGAAATACTGGCTCCACCACTTCCTGACTGTGACCTCGGGGTTCTGCCCGGTTTCATCATCAGCAAAGTGGGGGCAACAGCTGCCCAGTGAAGTCACCATCAAGGCGGGCTCCTACAGGCCTTGGCCACAGTCCCCTTCACCTCCGTGGCCTCTGGGGAGCAGCAGTGTGTGACAGCGTGCCGGTCCCCTCCCCCAAGCCTCCGCCCCGTTGGGCCTCCCAGGGGAGGGCAGGGCCACACCCACCCACCCAGCTCGGCCAGGCACCAAGCTGAAGCCTGCATCTCGAATCTCTGTCCCCCCAAGAAATAAGAGGTCCTGGTCAGCACATTTGCCATCCCCACCCTTCTTCCTTCCTCCGCCCACCCCCTCTTCCACCCCATCACAGAGGGGACCCAGAGCTGCAAATGGCAGCTCCGGATAGGCAGTGGGTGGGGCGCCTGGCCTTGGGGCTCAGGGCCTTCAAAGAGGGATCTAACTTCCTGCCCCCTCCAGCTTTGTTCCTGAGACCCACCCGTGGGCACGACTCCTTTTCTCTTTCTGAGACAGGGTCTCACTGTGTAGCCCAGGCCAGCCTCGAACTTGAGGCCATCCTCCTGCCTCAGCCTCCCAAGTGCTGGGATCACAACGCTTGGTGATGATAGCAAAGGATATCAACTGCTGAGACCTAAATAGCACCCCAGTCTTGGGGATGGACAGGGCCAGGCCAGGAAGGGCACTGCGATCTGTGATCGGGGAGGAAGCCCGGGTGTGTGTGCACGAAGCCTGCTCCTCCTCTCCACTCCTTCCCTCCTGCAGCTGCCCACCCCACCCTCATCCTCTCCCTGCTGGCTTGGGTTCAGTAAGCAGAGCCCAGTATCTGGGAAAGGTGCAGAGTGAGTGGGGTGTCCAGTTACACCCAGGCCTGGGGAATGGTGGGGGCACCCAGAGGGCAGGAACCAGAAGGTCTGGGGACCACGGTGGCTGGATGTCAGGGCTGCACACACGTGAGCACCTGGCTGTGTCCTGAAGACCTGTCCTGCCCACACACCGGGCTGTGTGCTCAGTGGGGACATCTTCCCTCCAGGCTCTCCATGCAGCCTCCCTCCCTCACCCAGCCGGGTGCCACGCTCCATGCCTATTTAAGGCAAAGCTGTGCTCCTCAGCCTAGCTGGGCTCCGGGCTGTGGGGAAGCAGCCAGCCAGCCTGAGCTCTGGGAAAAGGGGGCCCCAACAGCTCTAAGAGGATGGGGAGCAGGCGAGAACAGCCTCCCCTAAGTAAGCTGTGACCCCCAGCCTTCTGCCACAGTACAGCCCTAGCAGGGGTCCTGGAGGGACACATGCTAGGATGAAGGGACCACTGAGGGACCAGCCAGGGAAGTGGAGGCTCTGGGGTGGGGCTGGAGATGAAAGAGGAGGTGCTAGGACTCACAGAGGCCTGGAGACCTATCCAGGGCAACACCTCGAAGAATGGAAGGGTCTGAAATCCAGGAGGGCAGGCTCTGAGTTTAGTGCTTTCTCCCCTCTGCCAGGTCTCCTGTGCCTGGGACAGTGTGTAGGAGCAGCAGGGACGCTGATCAGGCCAGGCAGCATCCAGAGCCCTGCTCTACCAGCCTCCCCTTCCGAGTCTTTCCTCCTGGGCAGCACAGGCCAGAAGTCGCTGCAGGGTTCAAAAGGAGACAAAGGATCCTTTACAGATCAGGTTGCCACCTAGGCCAGGCAGGTTCGAACCCCCAGGCCCCTGAGCCCCCGGCGGGCCCTTTCCTGTGCCCCGCTGCCTGGGGCTGGAACAGGGACCGGGAGGATGAGGCCCCGGCCCCACCCTCTCTGCTCACCTAGATGACAGTGCTGTGGAGCTCAGCTGGTCCCACAGACTTGTACCTAGGCTCCTGTCCTGACTGGCCCAGGCCTACTTCAGAGCCCCCAAGATCCCACCAATATCTCTTGCTGCTACTCTTCCCCTCTCATAAACTGGCCCCCATAGCCTGGTATGATGGCACATGCCTGTAATCCCAGCACCCCAGGATGCTGAGGCAGGAGGATCTCCAGTTCAAGCCTAACCTTGAAACTCAGTGACTTAGGAAAACCCTGTCTCAAAACAAAAAAGAAATAAGCAAAAAATGTAGCTCAGTGGGAAGGTCTGGGTTCAGTCCCCAGTGCTGCCGCACACATGGCCCAGGCAACCTCCTGAAGTGTGGGACCTTCCATAGCTCCCTCAGAAAGAGCCACCCCTTCACAGCCACATTCAGACACGGAGGCTGTGGTGTGGACACGTGGGGTGCACTGAGCAGCTTGGGAAATGCTGGGGAGCGGA